GAAGAAAATTAACTCTATCCCAGCCGAAACCAGAACAGCAGTTTAGTGTTAAAAGCTTCCAAGGATGGATGTTGCACAACTTGTTTGGGTCTCTATTACAGTGCTTGATTGTCCTTACTGTGAAAAAGCTTCTCTTGATATCAAGTTTGAACCTATCCTGTTTCAACTTATGTTTGTTTTCTCTCATTCTCCTGTCATGCCACATTGTGAGGAGCTTGGCTCCATCTTCTTGAGAAAGGTAGAGGAAGGCTGCTCTTCTGCTGTTGGGTCTTCCCAAAACCTTTTCTTTTCCAGGCTGAACAAGCCCATTTTCCTAAGACTCTCCTCACGGAGCATTGCTCCAATCCCAGCCACCCTGAGAGCTATCACTTTTCTTTTCCAGGCTGAACAAGCCCATTTTCCTAAGACTCCTCACGGAACATTGCTCCAATCCCAGCCACCCTGAGAGCTATCAGCTGAACTTGCTCTACTTTGTTGATGGGGGTTTTTGCATGGTTGATGGGTTTTTTGGGGGCCCAAAACCAGATGCAGTATCTAGATGTGGTTTAGCAAGTGCTGAGTAGACTGTGGGATAATCCTTTGGGGGCATGGCAGATCACTCTCCAGAAAGGTCAACCCAGAGCCCAAACCAATGAAAATCAGGAGGAACTGCTAGAGAAGCAGGAAAGAGAAAAAAAAAATTATAGAGCATGTAAATCTGCAGTGATCCACACCATGCACGTGGAAGCATGCTTGATGGTCTAAGATTTGTAGGGAGAAGTTTCATTTAGTGTTAAGCCAGTTTGCTCAGGGTTTTATCCAGTTGGGTCGTAAGAACCTTCAAGGGTGGAGGCAGCACAACCCCTTTGGGCAACCTTCCTCTGCTTGGCATGTGCTCCCGTTGTCCCTGTACATGCTGGCATAATATAAGCAAGTTTAGCTGTGAAAAAGAAATTAATTATCTGAGAAAAACAGGGAAATATGTGGAAAGCAGGCAGTGAACAATGAGTTCCATCAGGGAGGATAGAAGACAGGTCTAAGTGCTGCACTCAAGGACCCTTGCACCTTGTCCATAACTTCTCGGTGTGCTGAAAGAGGTCTCTCACCAAGACACATGCTGTTTTGCATCAGGGCCTTCAAATGACAGCAATATTTGGTGGAGTTTGGTGCAGTTTCTTCCACTTGCCAGCTAACACTGAGAGCAAAATGGGTGCCCTTTTTGTAGTCTTGTACAGTTTCAGTCTCCATGAAACACATCTTGTTATAACATTTTCTGCTAAATTAAAGCACATTTTATTTAGAAATAAATACTTACATTTAAGTGAGTTACAAGTAGTTGCAATCTGGGACTTAAAGGCAATTTTGACCCCTGTCATTTTTGTCATATTCTGTTTTATTAGAGCCTAGAAGAGTAAAAAATTTTCATAAAAATGAAAACAATCTGTACCTGCCTAATGTGATTTGGGAAGTGTGAATGAATTTTTCAGAGGTGTGTTATGGATCCAAACTCTTTTCAGATGTCTGTAGCATTGAGAAATGGCTCCTGCTCATTCTCCATATGTTCCTTTTTTTTTTTCCTTTTGTGCTGACAGAAAAATTAATAAAGAAAAATGAATGAACCATCCTGAAAATGCTGTATTATATTTCCTAGCCATGTATTTCTCAGAAAGACAGTTAATAGAGCCTCAGAGCAGGGAGGCAAGATGAATTTCTCTTGGGTATGGATGAAAACTGCGTGGGATTCTCACTCTCCATCTTTATCCAAATTTTAGTCATGGAGCATTGCTTTGCTGGGGAAGAGCTAGAACATGCCGATGACTGTGACAACCGCTTTCCAGCTGAAATGTCCATTGCTGGGGCCCCAGGTCACCTCTGCCCTGCAGCAGAAGGAAAACCCCAACCAGAGCATGGGGCATCTGAACCCACTTCTCCTCCATGAGCAGGGCCAGAAGCCAGAGGTGGGGATGGACCGACCCACTTAGCTGAGGCCCAGCTGGCTCTAGAAAGGCGAGGAAGGAGCTGGGTTCGCTTGCAAAAGGGACTGAAAGGGGAAGGGGTGGGACAAGGAGAAGGAGGGAGGGAAGGACAAGATGGGAGTGTGGTTTGCACAGCAGTGGGGAGAGGACTGGGATTCACAGAAGCCTGGAGGTGGGAATAGAGGCAACAGAGTTGCATGGGACTGGAGCAGTTGTTGGAGATCTCCTGGAGGATCTCCTGGGGGTTGTCGTAGTATTCTTCTCTTCTCTTCTCTTCTCTTCTCTTCTCTTCTCTTCTCTTCTCTTCTCTTCTCTTCTCTTCTCTTCTCTTCTCTTCTCTTCTCTTCTCTTCTCTTCTCTTCTCTTCTCTCCTCTCCTCTCCTCTCCTCTCCTCTCCTCTCCTCTCCAGGTACTCCTGGGACTGGCCCTGGGGACCCGTTGCCTTTGCACACTCTGGCATTTCTGCTGTCCCAGACTCTCTCAGTAGGCTGCCTTGGGGTTTGATATGGTTCCCCAATAATGGAAGGGTTTGGTTTTTTTTTTATTTGCATAACTTGCTTTTTAATTGAAATTGGTATTGCCAAAGATTTGGCACAGAGATGCTATATTGCATGAACTCCACAAAAACAGCACAGGGAGGTGCAGTGTGCCACACAGCAGTGAGAGTTACTTAACAAACATGTGGAGTGCTCTCAAATCTGCCGCTTGTTATTTCACCATTCTCCATCTATGTAATGGGGATGACGTTACTGACTTCCCTCTCAAAGCCTGCATTACAGCTATGGATGAAATGTAGCAGAGAAAGGATAGATTGCTGTTGTTTGGAAAGTACTTCATAATTCATGCTGCTGCAGTTTTAATTACAAACCCAGTCCTTGTGATTTAATCTTGAGCTGCCCCATTGCTCTTAAGTCTCCTCCAAATAAACACGCTGCAAGCAAAGAGATACAAAATGGGGCAAAATGCAACTGTGTCTATGAGGTCATCAGCATTGAGGGGGTTAAAAACTGTCTATTTGTCTCCCTAATTACACCTTAAGTAGCAAGGGAAATGCAGAGTTCCCTGCTGGGATTTATCTGTGACAGATAAATATCTCCTGGTCTCTGCAGTGCAGAGTCTCTGCATGGAGACCTGAAGGAGGCAGGTGAGTATTTAAGGTTCAGGCAGCAATTTGTTGCTCTGCAATAAGGCCTTTTATGCCATCACTCCTGGGCAGCAGCAGCGTTGAACAGCCCCCAGTTAGTGGAGCTTGCAGGCACGCTCCTGTCTCTAGCATTGCCTTTGCCTGGGAATTGTGTTCCCTGTCCTGGTGTTCTCCGTGGAAGAACGAATACTTAGGTAAAGCAGCACCAACAGAGGCAGCTGTCAGGAAGGAGATGGAATGAAGAAAGAAAAATATCAAGAATTTCAATTCCTAGGATATTTACAGCCTTATGGAAAAAAAAAAACCAGAAAAATCTCTCTTAGAGTGCAGGCGACCCCAAGCCATACATACCTCTAAGGTTTCAAGCACAGCCCCGACAGCCCAGCTCCAGGTGGTGACTGTTGGTCGTGCTGAGTTGGCTTGCAGTGGTCATGGTGTGAAATCTTGTCTGGATGCAGTGGGAGCAGAGGCCACCACTGGAGCTGGCTGGGCTAGCATGGGACCCTCTGGGAGAAAAAGCCTAGCTCTCTTCTGAGAAGCTGCTATTGTCCCTCTGCTTCCTGCACAAGTGCCCCAGGAAGGTTTATGAAGGGTCTTATCAGATCAGGAACATTGGCCTAATCTGTGCTGCAGGGCTTTTCAAGGAATCCTTTTTCCCAGGTATTAGGGAAAAAAACATGAGCTGAGCAATGTGCAGGGGCTGAGCGAGCTGCAGTCTTTTGTGGGGGGAGAATGGACATCACTGGAGCTCTGTGTTTGGGGGGGGGGGGGAAGATTGTCAAATCCTGTGGCACTGGTTCAGTTTTTTGCCCTGAAATTGGATGTTTCTTGACTGAGGCAAGCACTTGTTGCCTCTGTTTACACTGGCAAGCAGCACAGTGCTGTTAAAAGCTTCTGTAGAGCTATAGGGCTGGTGCTAATGACTTCGTATCTCCACCACATACATTTCAAGAAGGTTTACTTCAGACCAGCTTTCATCTGGTCTCCTGGGCTGGACATCCTTGGGACACTGGAGCGTTTCAGGTGTGCACCTCGGGCAGTCTTCCCATTCAGTTTGATCCAGGAGGAATCCAGTCTGCATGCTCCAGGACCACTCCACCAAGTGGGACAGAGCACTTTCAGTGGAAACTGGCAGGACACTTGCCTCAGAAGTGCTCTCCTGAACCAGTGCAAGCAGCTGTCAGGGATGGCTGGCTGCATGGGGAATTTGAGCTTCTAGACCGTACCTCATGCCATTCTCTGTTTGCCACTGACCAGATCAGGTTGAGGGTATTTGATGCTTTTTTACAGGACTACAGTGTAGGCAAGAGACAAGAAGGGCTTCATGCCTCTGAACGCTACTGCCTTCTCCCACCCTCCCTATTTCCTTCTCACTGGCATCCCGGGGCTGGAGAAGGAGCAGTTTTGGATTGCCTTCCCCTTCTGCATCATGTATGCCATTGCTGTGCTGGGAAACATCACCCTTCTCCTCATTATAAAGGCAGAGCCGAGCCTGCACAAGCCCGTACCTCTTCCTGGCTATGCTGGCCTTCACTGATCTGGTCCTATCAACATCCATGCTACCCAAAATGCTTGGCATCTTCTGGCTGGGCTCCGGGGAGATTGGGTTTCTCTCCTGCCTTGCTCAGTTGTTCTTCATCCATACCTTCTCATCAGTGGAGTCGGGCATGCTCATGGCCACAGCCTTGGATCGCTACATCGCTATTTGCTGCCCACTGCAGCACTCCAGCATCCTCTCTGTTCCAGTGGTGGTGGCCCTTGGGAGCCTGGTGCTGGTGCGTGGGGTCCTCCTGGTGAGTCCCTTCTGCTTCCTCCTCCACAGGATGTCCTTCTGCCAGCATCACGTCATCTCCCACTCCTACTGTGAGCACATGGCCGTGGTGAAGCTGGCATGTGGGGACACCAGAGTCAATGTCATTTATGGCCTCTTCGTGGCTTTCATAGTGACAGGAACTGACATGATCCTGATCTCTGTGTCCTACACCATGATCCTGCGGGTGGTAATGAGGCTATCATCCACAGAGGCACAACTGAAAGCCTTCAGCACCTGTGCATCCCATGTCTGTGTCATTCTTGCCTTTTATGTCCCTGCCCTCTTCACATTCCTCACCCACCGGTTTGGGCAGAGCATCCCACCCCGCATCCATATAATGGTGGCCAATCTCTACCTGCTAGTGCCCCCCATGCTAAACCCCATTGTTTATGGGGTGAGAACCAAGGAGCTCTGGGCCAGGGTGGTCCTCCTCTTCCAGCAAAAGGGAACCTGACCCATATGTATGTGCCTCAAACTGTGCTCATAATTTACTGATGATGCTGGTAAATTTAATGAGAGTTAACACTGTGACTATTTATTTGTTCAGGGAGGAACCCTTCCTCAATGCCTGGAGTTTAAGTAATGCATTCTTGCAGAAATCACTAGATTGTCTCTTCCGTTATTACTGTCCAGGAGGTTTCATCCATTTAGTGATGAAACTTGGCATAAAGACGTTCAGTCTGGCTTCTACACCACTGGGAGATGGAGAGCTCACCCCTCCCAGAAGTTAAACTCCTCACTGTTAGAATTCTTTCACTGTTAAAAAAATATCCTCTCATGATTAAAATATTTACACTGTAAGGCTGAGTATCTCCAAAAGATCTTCCTCCAGCAGCTTTCATTACATGAAGAGTGTTCCCTGGACTGTGTGATGGTATTTAAAAGACCTGTAGACATGGTGCTTAGGGACACGGTTTAGTGTTGGACTTGGCAATGCTATGTTTACAGTTGGACTCTATGATCTTAAAGGTCTTTTCCAACCTAAATGATTGTATGATTCTATGGGAAGGTGCTCAGATGGGAATGGTGACTGTCCTTGTAGAAGGAAATGGGTAGAATTCAATTTTAAGCATTAACCTTTTTTTTGTAAGGAAGGCAAAACCTACAATAATCCTATGCTAGAAAATTCTGAAAGTCCTATGTAAACGTAAACCCTTTCAAAAACATCAGAAATCCTCGCTGATGCAATTATTCCGAGTGACATATCACACAGAGATGGCTGCTAACAGGATTGCATTATACTAATGTAAGTCAACTATCCCGATAAACAGGCAAACATGTTTTAGAAAATCACTGCTCTATATACGAAAAAGGTAGGCAGCAGAATGAGGTGAAGGTCAGACGACCCAAACACAAGTTACAAAACTCAAGCTACAAAACTCAAGCATGTTACAGACTTTTGCTGTATTTTTAGTGCCAACTGAAGAGCACTAATGGATGGAGAGGAGATCTCTGACCTGGCCTGGCATTTCTTCGAGCTCTCTATCTTCCTGAGCAGCCCTGACTATCATGGCCACCCACGAGGAGCCTTCGGCCTCTGCTATCTCTCCGTGAGCTGGATGCCAGTGGGGAAGCAGGAGAGGGGGCTCCAGGAAGAGAACATGCACTTCTGCTGAAGTGAAGCAGATGTTAGGCTGCAGACAAAATGGGAAATTAACATTTTTTGGCACCGTTTCAGTAGAATACTTAAATTTCATAGAATCATAGAATCATCAAATCATTTAGGTTGGAAAAGACCTTTAAGATCATCCAGTCCAACCATTAACCTACACTACTAAGTCTACTCTAAGCCAATCAAGGGTAGACTAGACTAAAACTTTCAACTCAGTTCATCCTTTTTCATCAGATAAAACAGAAGTAGCTTTTCACGGACCATAGACGAGAGGCAGGGGAAGCCGAAGGAGGAGAGATACGACTGCAGTTTGTCAAAGAGCCTGTCTCAGAGCACCCGCTTCATAAAGCAGGGCTGCACCATTTCTTGTGGACTGATGCATACCCGCCACCACTCTGGTGAGGTAGAACCCCCATTTTTCTGCAAGCTCCACAAAAAATGTTGTTGTTTTCATTTTCATTAAGAACATGGGAGCCTGTCGTGGTTTAGCCCCAGGCAGCAGCTCAGCACCCCGCAGCCACTCGCTCACTCCCCCTGCCCCAATGGGAGAGAATCGGAGGAGTAAGAGTGAGAAACACTCCTGGGCTGAGATAAGAACAGCTTAATAATTGAAATAAAGTAAAATAGGAATGATAAGAATAACAATATAATAATAATTGTAATACTAATATACAAAGCAAGTGGTGCCCAATGCAATTGCTCACCACCCGCCGACCCATGCCCAGCCAGTTCCCAAGCAGCGATCACTGCTCCCCGGCCAACCCCCCCAGTTTCTATACTGAGCAGGACGCCGTATGGTATGGAATAGCCCTTGGGGCAGTTGGGATCAACTCTCCTGGCTGTGCCCCCTTCCAGTTTCTTGTGCCCCTGGCAGAGCATGGGAAGCTGAAAAGTCCTTGACTGGCACAAGCAGTGCTGAGCAACAACTAAACCATCAGTGTGTTAGCAACATTCTTCTCCTACTAAATCCAAACCACAGCACTATGCCTGCTACTGGGAAGAAAATTAACTCTATCCCAGCCGAAACCAGGACAGAGCCACCCTCATGACCGATGTCTATCCATTCCACCACACTGCCTCCTCCAGTGGGAGGGGCCTTCTAAGAGATGCCTTTTTTAAGTAAGAAACGACAGGGGGGTTCGTTGCCTGTCAGATATGTGCAAAGGTGACTGACTCACATAGCTCCTTGTGACCTGTGAGATGTGTGCTACAAGATGTCACTGCCACATAATATCGAATACTCAGCACCAACAGCTTAGGCTCCTACTCTAGGATTACCTTCTCTGTAAATAAAGCTGGCTGTGACATCTGGATCACAGCACAGTATGGATGGGGTGGTTGCTGGGGTGGGATGGGGTCAGCCGTGCCCTCTAGTCAATGCTAACACTGCATGTGAGCTGCCTGGAGAAAGTGGTGGGAAAGTCAAGGAGGTCTGTACCCAAACCAGGGACACAAGCACACTTTCATGGGGAGGGGGTACAACTTTGGGGTGGTGCTTTGAAATCCAAAGGCACCAAATGGTCCCATTACTGAAAAAGCCGAAACCTGAATGTTTTGATGGGTAGCCCAGTGTTCTCAGGAGTTTCATTTCCTGACAATGGTGCCTGAGGCCACAGCTGCCAGGAAAGGGAGATCTTGCCACCATCGCACTCTCCTCTTGGTAGGTTCACATCTGTCCTTCTCGCCCCTACAGAGGGTCTCCCAGGAAAGTTTTCTCCTGTCTGATGTTTCCTTGTTGAAGCCAGAAGCCAACACCACATTCAAGTCCTGCTTTGACTTCACACCTACTTTCTAGGTGTCCTATTTAGCTCCTGGTGCTAACTAACCCAAGGTAATTCCACTGTAGCCTCCCACTTGACACTGGGTTTCACTCTTAATAGTATGTTTGCATCATCTCCTTTGAGATAGTGGATCAACAAAAAAAAAAAAAAAAGAAGCAGCAGAAGTATCCAGTGAGCCTGGGATTCCTGGGGGATTTTGTGGAGTGGCAATATAAAGATGTATTCACTGGCAGCCTGGAGGCAAGATGCTCAGGCAGCTCATATTTGGGCATTGCCCCATATTTAAGGCAAAGCGATCTGCTTTTTCTAGGCTGCTTTTCACATGTCACCTGTCAGATAACTTCAGACAGCTTCGACAGTGTTACTGTAGTTTTAGTGTCAAAGTGATTATTAGTTTTAAAGAGAGGATGCGTGCATAATGAAGAGCTTGTTACCCTCAGACCCTTTTCTTGTCAGGGGGCTGTATGCACCATTTATCTGACCAGGGTAGACATCAGGGTGAGACAAACTGCCTGCTGGCAATGCCTGTTTCCCCAGTGTGATTGGTGGGGTCCAGGCAACCAGCTGAGATGCTGATACCCACACAGCAGGCACCTGCACCCAGGTGAGGGGACAGTGACCTGTAAGGAAGGGCAACCCTTGCCTGTGTTACAGCTTGGCAAGGTGGGTAAATAGGACTGAAATCTTCTCCTCTCAGCATGCAGAAGTGGTTCATGTACACCACAGGGAGCTGCCAGAGCTCTCCTCCCTGCGAGAGGGTGATTTGGTTATTGTTTACTTCATTTCTACTGGAAAACAGCACTTGCATTTGTACATACATGAATATCCAAGTCCAGTCTTTCACTCTTGGGCAAGCAGATGTTCACAACACTGCTTTTTGGCAGCACGCTGGTGAATGCTTGTTGGCTGGATCCTGCAAAATGTTGCTGCACTATTTGGGTTCTCAGCTGTGCACAGCTCTTGAAGATGCAAAAACCACTTGGTGCAAAGGCACTTATATCAGCTCTTTGCTGCCAAGGTTATTTTTATGGAAGGAAAAGATCACCAAGTCTGATATTCATTCAGAGAAAGAAATAAAATAGAGGTGCAAAGAATAATTTTAAAAAAGAGATCTAAAATGAGGATGAAACTCACAGCCAGCAGAGAAGACGTGCTCTGCAGCACCCGCACAGAAGGGATATGGGAATCTCATTCATAAAGCACTGGAAGCCACACTCAGATATCCGGGTGTCCTGGTTTCAGCTGGGATAGAGTTAATTTTCTTCC